CCAAAATTGACCATTTTACCAAACAGGCCAAAGGCGAAATATTGATTATTTTTGTTGAATTGAATTTTGAAATGGTAAAGGGGTGTGACGCTTCAATCCTTGTGGACTCAACACTAAACAGCAAAGCAGAAAAGGATCATCCGGCCAACAACCCTAGCCTTCGCGGCTTCGACGTGATCGACAAAGCCAAATACTGGGTGGAATCGCAATGCCCGCAGACCGTTTCCTGCGCCGACATCGTGGCGTTTGCGGCCAGAGACAGCGCGGCGGTGCTGGGAGGGATCAATTACGACGTGCCTGCCGGGCGGCGCGACGGCCGGGTCTCCCTCTTCGATGACCCGACCCAACACCTGCCGTCTTTCCTCGCCGATGCGGAGGAGCTGGAGAAGAACTTCCGGCGCAAAGGGCTTTCGCTGGACGAGATGGTGACGCTCTCCGGCGCGCACTCCGTCGGGAGGTCGCATTGTTCCTCGTTTACCAATAGATTGTATTCTTCCAATTCCACTGAAATTCTCCAGGATCCGTCCTTGGAGACCGGATTGGGCAACAAGCTAAGACAAATGTGTCCCAGGCAGAACAGTGTTGATCCTACAGCTCCGCTTGATTGTCATACTCCAAACAGGTTAGCATAAACCTCCCTATATACTTTTCATTCTTCTTCGGAAAAAGGATCAAATAGGCCTTCAAACTATCTTAAAAGTCAATTAGGTTCCTAAACTTTTTAAAAGTGCAATTACACCTATCAATAATTCATTTAGGTGCAATGAAGCCCAAAACAAGTTAATGACCTGCTATCACAAGTCATTAGGGTTCAGGCTGACGAATTTTCCAACAAAAAAATGTGACCAGCAACGGACCCAGATTTATGGAAAATTTCGCCGGTCACTTCTTTTTTCGAAAATTTCGCCGGTCACTTTTTTTTTTTTTTCGAAAAATTCGCCGGAAGGTGGCCTGAACCCTAATGACCTGTATCACAGGTTATTAATTTGTTTTTTGGGCTTCATTGCACTTAAATGAATTGTTGATGGGTGTAATTGCACCTTTAAAAAGTTTAGAGGTCTAATTGACTTTTAAGCTAAAGTTCGAGGGCCTATTTGACCATTTTCCCTTCTTCTTTCTTAAAAATGAAAAATGATATTTATGGATTATTGATCTGTGTAACTGTCAAGATGAAAAAATGATAAAAATGTCAAGATGGCCGAGTTGGTCTAAGGGACAAGACATTTTTTCCATTCTTCAGAGGCAATTTAGGGAACCAGTAGGCCAGTATATATCAAGTTGGCCCAATGGCTATTCCTCTATTCCTCTACTGACGAAGTTCTTTAATTTATTGATGAAAAACAGGTTGGATAATCAGTACTACGTTAATTTGATGAAAGGTCGTGGAGTGCTAACCTCGGATCAGACGCTGGCAGACAGTCCTTTGACGGCTAGGATTGTGCGGAATAATGCAAACAACGGTGGTGGATGGGCTAAAAAGTTTGCCGCTGCAATGGTGAAGATGGGCTCTATTGAGGTCTTGACTGGGGAGGAAGGAGAAATTAGGAAGAGTTGTAGGGTCGTTAATTAATTTAAATTAAATTTGTTTCCCTTTTGGGGGACTCCTTTATGCTAATTTTTTGGATGTGTTTTTTAGCATTGAATTATTATTATTATTTTTTATATACAAGGAAAATTAATTTTACTAAACTACCAAGTACCAAGCTTTGAGCTAGTACTGTTATTATTTTTTACGTTAATACACTCACTCTCACAGCTTTACCATGCATGTATACTATAGGAGAGTACAAAAGTGATGAATAGTTGATATGCATTATTATTTGATATTTTTTTAAAAAAGAAAATACAAATGTGTAAGTCCCTATCTATAGTGATTTAAAAAAAAAAAAATCTTTATTTTTATTTTATGCAATATTCTGACATTGTTTGGCAATTAACTAAGTAGTGAATTGGTAATTAGTTAGGGGATATCAGATAGGGAATTGTTTCATCAGTTTTGACTAACAAATTGTTTTAGCAGATCATAGAGATATGTTTGATAAAATTAAGAGAAAATCTTTTCGTTTCTAAGTTATACAATAATTGTAGAATTCGTCCATAATTGTTGGTCATATTCACTTTTTGTCCCTCCATAAGTTATCATTAACGTTGTACTTTTCGTCTCTTTACTAACAAAACATTAGGGATAGAATTTGCAACATTAGTATAGTTTAGGGAGAAAAGTGAGCATGAAAAGTGCAACGCCAATGATAGCTTAAACGCAAAAAGTGAGCACGATCAATAATTGAGGATGAATTCTACAATTACACTATAACATAGGGACAAAAAGTGCAATTTTCATAAAATTAACTATTTGCGATTAGTAGCTAACATGTAAGAAGATATATAAACCTGCCAAGCATATTGCAGCACGTGGACACATATACACGGCCTCCGAGTCCACTGAGTGCATGTGAAATATATATATGTTTAGGTTCTGGTGCGGTGAAGGCCGCAAGTAAAAAATGCAGTAGAATCTCAACCTTAGATCAACTCATTTAAAAAAAAAAAAAAAAATCGCTATTTACGATCAACAACAATGTGACCGGAAGGCACAACAATATGCTCTAGAAGGAATAACAATATGCACTGGAAGGCAAAAATGTGCTGTAAGGCACAAAAATATGCAACAATTATTGAAAAGACTAAGGGTGTGTTTGGTTGACAGGTTTAACTCTAAGGAATGTGTATCAAAGTGATTGGTATTGTTTGGTTAATATGTTTTTAGAACACTACAATGGGTTTCAAATACCCCCTTAATTGAAAAACTCATACCCAAATAAAATAATGGTATCATCACCTTTCATTCCCTTATTCATTCTCATCCCCTTTGATTAGTGCTTTTAGATTTTTGTTTTTATTTTTTTGTTCATATTGGTGTTTTGGATATCTTTATATTAGAATCAATTGTCTTGATTTTGTGTTCTTGTATTTTTCAAATCTTTATTCTCGTTATAGGATCATACATACCAAACAACATTACTGATAATCATTCTCATTTCACCATACTACCAAACATACAAAATACTTTCACTAAAACTCATTACCATTATCAAATATTTGGTAGCCATACCGATTACGATTCCCATGTGTCAACCAAACACACCCTAAATTTAATACATTACATGGGCATTATCTCTATAAAATAATAAAATAGCGATATTTAAAGTTCATGATTAATAATAAAGCTTAACTAGGTTAAATAAGTCTTTAATTTAAAAAATTTGTGATTTTTGCCAATCACATGCAACACCTCTTCACTTCATATCTATTTATTTAAGGGAAAAGAGTAAATAGATACTTAAACTTTACTAGAAAGTGCAATTAGGCCATTGATTTTTTTTTTAAACTGTATTTGAACACTCAAACTTGTTAAAATGCGTCAATTAAGTCTGATTTACCGTTAACCAATAGGTTACAGGTAAAATTAGGACCGTTGACCACTGTTCACGATTGTTAAAAAAAATTGCTAGTAGCCTTCTCCAGTCTTCTCCACCGAAGTAGACGACCAGCGACGACCGACTGGTCGACTAGCAATCTGGTTGTCTTCTCCGATGAAGAAGACAACCCGGTCACTGTCGTCGAATTTATAAAAAAAAATAAAAAATCAAAGAGTCGCTGAAATTTTTTAATCGCCGGAATTATCGTTGGAATCTTGATCACCGATTATTTCCAGTGAAGAAGACAACCAGTCACAGTTGTCAGATTTTTAAACAAAAAAAAAATGAATAAGGGTCAACTTAGCCATCGAACTACACACAAAAAGACAATTAGGCCACTGAACTCAAAAAATATGCAATTAGGTTCCTGAACAACGCAAAATGATGCAATTGAACCCAAAAGTGACCTGCTTACCTGAAGTGGAGGTTATTTTATTAAAATAATAATTTTTTATTTTATTAAATAATTGTAAATAACAAAACAACAATTTAAAAAAAAAAAACGCCTCGTCTCCAGGCCAGATGTTCCTTCATCTCCAACCTGGCCCTTCGTCTCCGGCGGCCTGGAGATGAGGTTTTTATTTTTATTTTTTATTTTTTATTTCTTATTTTGTTATTTACAATTATTTAATAAAATAAAAATTATTATTTTTGTAAAATAACCTCCACTTCAGGTAAGCAGGTCACTTTTGGGTTCAATTGCATCATTTTGCGTTGTTTAGGGACCCAATTACATGTTTTTTGAGTTCAGTGACCTAATTAAATTTTTGTGTGTAGTTCGATGACCTATTTGACCCTTATTCCATAAAAAAAAAAAAATGAAAGTCGCTGAAATTTTTTAATCGCCGGAATTATCGTCAGAGTTGTCGCCAGAATCTTGATGACTGATTATTTCAGGTGAATTACCAGTTATTAGGTTTAGAATTTTAGATGCACTAAAATGATAAATTTGAATGCTTAATTGCACCTTTTTAAAAAAAAATTAGAAATTTAATTGTATTTTAAAATAAAATTTAATGGCTTATTTGACCATTTCTTTTATTTAAGGACACTTACATAAGGAATACAGTAAAATTCATATTCCATAGAAGAAATATTACTGTATCATTTAGCATAGGGGAAGTAAAGAAGGAAACCCAACTAATGAACCAATGGCATATTCCATAGAAGATATATTACCGTATCTAGCATAGGGGAAGTAAAGAAGAAAGCCCAACCATTGAAGCAGTTAAAATAAAATGTCAGAAGTGGGATTTGAACCCACGCCCTCTCACGAAAACCAAAACTTGAGTCTGGCGCCTTAGACCACTCGGCCATCCTGACTTGATGTTTAATTTTGATCAAAAAAAATATTTATACAATAAAAGAAGGAAGCCCAACCATTGGAGCAGTTAAAATAAATTGTCAGAAGTGGGATTTGAACCCACGCCTTCTCACGAAGACCAGAACTTGAGTCTGGCGCCTTAGACCACTCGGCCATCCTGACTTGATGCTTGATTTTGATCAAACAAATATTTATACTGTAATAATAGCTTTTCTAATAATGAAGAACAAGTAGCCAGACTTTTTAAATCGAATTTCAGTATTTCACGGCTTTATAACTCAATATCCGATCATCTTTATTTAATTGTTTAATTTTTGGTGTAGTACTTGTGGAGTCATTAATCATTACTAGTAGAATACCCCAAATTCTATTCATGTAATCATATTAGTGACATTTAATGTATATTTTGTGTTAAAATAATGAATAATGTGGTAGTTACATCATCAAATTATGTAGGTCCTATTTGGTAAATGACTGTTACTGATAGCTGATAGTGTTAATTAGAGGGTATAACTAATTGATAACATTAGCTGTTGTAGAAAAGTGTTTAGTAAATTAGCTGTTAGCTGATAGATGTTTGATATAATTTTTTTTTTTTTTAAAAAAGCTAATTGAAAAAGTTGCTTGAAGTAGCTTTTTGAATTTTAACATTTTGGAGTTGCAAAAAGCTAATTAATCAAACACTTATATTGATATTTTAACTAAATCAAACAATTAATAATGACCAAATAAGCCAAAATTGACCTATAGGCCAATTTTTTACCAAACAGGGCCGTAGTTATGTCATCTAGCTATATAAGCATATTCAATGACATCAATAATTTTACTTAATATTTTATTTTTAGTAATACATGAATTAAATTGACTAATTTTTCCTCTCGCTAGTTTCGCGAGTTTTCTCCTCCGCTTCTGTGAGTTTTCTTCCGCTACTTTCCGGCATGGACACTTCTGCTACTACAAGCGCCTTTGCCACCTTGAACCTTGCGGATCTCGACGATGATGGCGATGCGCAACAGGTTGGCAACGTTACTCTGCACTCAGGGGATGAGGAGGAAGTCTTCTACGCGGTAGGAAGGCTGCTTGCAAGTAAATCTCCGAAATACTTGTTCTTTAGAGATACTCTGGCTACTACCTGGCGTCCAGCGATAGGGATGAATGTCAAAGAGCTGAAACCCAAGCGTTTTTTGTTGGAGTTCTATCATGAGAGTGACATAATGCGTATCGTCGAAGGTGGTCCCTAGGCTTTTGAACAAAACCTGTTACTTTTGAAGCGTATCTCCATTGATGACAACCTGGAATCAGTAACCCTCAACAGTGCTGAGTTCTGGATCCAAGTTCACAATCGCCCAGCAGGTTTTCGTTCTGATGGGGTTCTTCAGGCAATCGGATCTTTCATAAGTCGTGTTATCAAACTTGATGAAAGGAACTTTGATGGCTCGATGCAAACGTTTTTCCGTTTACGGGTTGAGATTAATGTTGAGAAGGCCCTCAAGAAAGGTATGAAGCTGAACAAGAATAATGGAGAATAGTTTCGGGTGGAGTTTCATTATGAACGACTTCCCATGTTCTGTTTCATCTGCGGTTTCCTTGGCCATGGGGATAAGGTTTGTCCTCGCTTGGTTCAGGGATGGGATAGTACTATGGTTAAGCCGTTTGGTCCAGAGATGAGGGCTGGTGGCCGTAGGAATACTCCGTCAGTCGGGCAAGAATGGATCGCGCCGCCGACGAGACTGGAGCGCCGACAATGGGCGGCTCCGGGACGACAGCTTGACCGTGATGATAGAGGAAAGAATCCGGTAGATCCTAAATCGGATCACCATTCCCTACAAATCCGCGATTCTACGCGTGGTGCTTTATTTGAAAATATTATTTTAAATGAGGCCGTTATTCTGCATGAGCCAAATAAAGAAGCACCTGACAGTGGGGTTGACTCTGAAGTTGGTCTGACTATTTCTGATCAAAAGAGGCGCCATACTGAGACGATCGATGAAGGTGGTTCTGAGTCAGATTGTATTATGGAAGTTGAGAACATGGAGCCAAAAAACTTGCTATTGGCGGGAATTGGTTTGGACCAATCCCGCCTATCCCAATGAGTACCTTATGCTGGAACTGTCGTGAGATCGGCAATCCACGCACAATTCGAGATGGCCTTAGAAGTCAAAACGAAGCCGATGTTTATTTTTTTAATTGAGACAAAGGTATGAATTGACCATGCTGAAAACCTAAAGCGTAAATTGAATTTTGATGGCCTTTTCTATGTAGATGGTGGTGGTCTCCGAGGGGGTCTGGCTCTTTTTTGGCGTGATAAAGGTATTGCTTTTCTTATAAGTTATTCCAAAAATCACATTGATATTCAGGTGCGACTGCCTGACAGCAACCCCTGGAGATTAACGTGTTTTTATGGATTTCCCTAGAGAAACCGTCGACAGCAATCTTGGGACCTTCTACGCTCGCTGCAAACCAAGTCTTCATTACCATGGTTAGTGGCTGGCGACTTTAATGATATTGCCTTTCCGGGTGAGAAACGCGCCATACATCCTCATCCTACTGCTCTAATTGGTGTATTTAACCTTGCATTAGACGATTGCGGTTTATTTGACATTGGAATGAGGGGCAGAAAATATACTTGGGAACGCTGGAAAGGAACGGATGATTGGGTAGAGGAACGATTGGATCGAGCTGTGGCTAATGTTGATTGGTGTACTTTATTTCCCCACGCTATAGTGTACAATAATGATGTTTTCACTTCGAATCACACGGCTATACTCATTGAAATTGATGGCCCGAAGATGGCGAGACAAAAACGCAGATTTATGTTTGAGAACGCTTGGCTCAAGGAGATGGGTTGTAAGGAGAAGGTACTGGAAGCTTGGAATGAATCTTTGGGGGAGATTTTGCCGACTAGACTTGATCACTGTGGTCTTCTCCTTAAACGTTGGGGAGGTGATTTTGTTAAAAGAACCGAACGTGAGATAAGTTGGCTGCATGGCCGGCTCAATTATTTGAGGGACCAACGTGATGCTGAATCCATGAGCATGTTTTGTGAAGCTGACTGTAGGCCACAAACCCTGCACGATCAATTGGATATCTTCTGGAGTCAAAGGGCAAAATAAACTTGGTTGGCTCATGGGGATAGAAATACGAAATTTTTCCATATGTACGCATCGGCAAAGAAAAGGAAGAATCGAATCATAAGGCTCAAGGATGAATCGGCACAGTGGGTTGAAGGTTTGGGGTTACTGACTTTGGCTAAACAATACTACGTGAATATTTTCAGCTCAAAAGGAGTAAGTTTGCACAACTCTCTAGTTGACTTTATTCCAAAGGTGACCGAATCGGATAATGCGGATTTATTGCTTCCTTTTACTGTTAATGATGTGAAAGACGCTTTCTTTAGCATGACTCCAGAAAAATCCCCGGGACCTGATGGTTTTAGCCCAGCTTTTTTCCAGCACTTTTGGGGAGAAATTGGGCACGATGTGGCTCATTTTGTTATAAACTGTTTGAAGGAGGAGGAGGAGTGGCCATCTGGTTTGAATGATGCTATAATAACTTTGATCCCCAAAAAATCAAATCCGGTTCTTATGGCAGATCTGCGCCTCATAGCCCTATGTAATGTTGTTTACAAAATCTTGTCTAAAATGTTGGCTAACCGAATGAAGATGTTCTTGATAAGGTTGTCTCGGTGTCACAAAGTGTCTTCTTGCCGGGTCGATTAATCACAGACAACGTGCTCATTGCCTCTGAAGTGTTGCACTATCTTAACCGGAAGAGAGATGGAAGAGACGGTTGGTGTGCGCTTAAGCTGGATATGGCTAAAGCGTATGACAAAATGGAATGGCCGTTTTTGAAGGAAATTATAAGTCGCATGGGGTTTGATCAACGATGGATTTTTATTATTATGAGGTGTGTGACCACGGTACGGTACAAGGTTGGGATTAATGGGGAACCCACTTATTATATCGTACCTTCTTGTGGCTTAAGACAATGAGATCCCTTGTCTCCGTATCTTTTCATATTGTGTGCTAAGGGACTATCTCATCTTCTGAATAGATCGGTTATTAATAAAGTTATATCTTCATGCGTTGTCGCTAGGGGTGTGCCCGGGGTCTGGCATTTATTCTTTGCCGACGACAACTTGCTATTCTTTAAAGCTACAACTTTGGAAGCAGAAGCGGTTAAGGCATGCCTAGTAGCTTACGAAAGGATGTCCGGTCAGTCCGTCAATTTTACTAAGTCCTGTATTGTTTACAGCAGAAACACAAATGTTGGGGCGAGGAATTCTGTGGCGTCGATTTTCAATGTGAGCCAAGAAAATAACATTGGTAAATCTTTGGGGTTGCCAATGGACATTGGACGCAACAAACGTGAAGTGTTTTCCTATATTGAAACTAAGCTTAACGACAGACTAAGTGGCTGGAACAAGAAGTTCTTGTCACGAGCTGGAAAGGAGATCTTGTTAAAGACTGTTGCGCAAGCTCTCCCTACATACACCATGAATGTTTACTACCTCCCCGAGAATAATGAATAAGTATTGGTGGTCTTCTAATGGTAGGCGTGGAGGTGGAATAAGATGGATGTCTTGGTCTAGACTATGTGAGCCAAAGATGAATGGAGGATTAGGCTTTAAGTGCCTAACACGTTTCAATACTGCTCTTCTTGCTAAGCAGGGATGGTGGTTACTCACAAAGCCAATATCTCTAGTTGCCATGCTGATGAAATCCCGCTACTATCCGCAAGGTGAGTTCTTAAGTGCTACAATTGGAGCCAATCCTTCCTATTGCTGGCGATCGATTCTGGCAGGTTAGGAGGTTCTCAGGCATGGATGTATTCGGAGGACTGGGAATGGGCGTACTACAAGTGTATGGAACCATCCTTGGCTTCCAGACGATGACAATCCATTTATCCATACTCCTATACCGGATAATAGTGCAGGTTTAAAGGTTAGCTCGTTGATAAATTCTGTTACACAGGATTGGGATGTAGTAACTTTGAACACCTTATTGGAACCCCGTGATGTGAATCTTATATTGAAGATCCCAATCTCTATCCTGTTCGAAGACCAATGGTGTTGGAAATGGGGATGTTCGAGGTTTATATCCTGTACGCAATGGGTATCATATGCTCTCGGATTTGCATAACACTAATCCGCCATTTTCTGTTTTCTGGAAGCAGTTGTGGAAATTGAAAGTGCCACCAAATATTAAAAAAAAAATTGTGGCAGTGTATTCATGGAGTGCTCCCTACACTTTCTGCTTTGGCAAGTAGGCATGCGGTAGTTGATAACGCTTGCCCTATTTGTCATCAACAGCCTGAGTCCTTGCACCATTTGTTCTGTGATTGTGCGTTCATTACCCCTCTTTGGTCAGATCATGCAGATTGTGTGCTCTCTTTCGCTGATGAAGATTTCGTTACCTGGCTGACTATTGGTTTAGCGAGTCCTTCGACCGCAACAAGGCTTACTTACGCTGCTCTCTGTTGGGTTATATGGAACGGGATGAACAATCTTGTTTGGAACCAAGTTCCATGGCAGGCGCCTAAGATCAAGATGGAGGTAGCTCGCTTGATAAATATTTGGCAGGAAGGCAGGAGGTTGGAATCTGGGAGTGTATCACTTGACGAAGGGGTGCAGGTTGGCATGGTGTCCCTAAATCTGTCATATCATATCTTCGTTGATGCAGCCGTATTTGCAGACTCCGGAAATGCTAGCTATGGAATGGTCATTCTGGATAATAGTGGTTCCTATGTTGCAGCAAAGAGTGGTCCACTCCATTGTTTGAATGATGCTCATTTGGCTGAAGCAATGTCGGTTAAAGAGGCACTATCATGGGCTAAGGAGAGAGGTCTTCATAGGGTGGTGGTTAAATCTGATTGCCAGTTGGTGTGTAACCTGTTGAACGGTTCTTTGCCTGATTTCTCATTCGCAGGTTGTGTTCTTCGTGAATGTCGAGAGTTGAAACGACATTTTGAAGTAGTGTCTATTCGGTATATTTCTAGATCAGTAAACAAGTTAGGTCATGCTTTGACAAGGGCGGCTCGTTTGCAAACTGATCCCGTTTGTTGGATTTCTTCTATACCTCCTTGTATTGCTTTGATGATTTAATAAAATGTCTTTGGTTGATTTTCAAAAAAAAAAAAAAAATTGACTAATTTTATAATTTAGAGACTAAAATAAAACATGCATTTCACAAGTTTTTTTTTTTAATTTTTTATTTTATATATATATATTTTACCATAATAGCATATTAGTATTTGGTCTTACATAAGTGCTATCCTTTTTAATTTCACTAGTATTTGCACCCGTGCGATGCACGGAATGGATTTGTTGTAATATATTAAGAATATATGAATCGATATATAATTATTTAAATTAGAACATCAAATATTATATAGTGCAATTAAATATATGGTTTGGATCGTTTATATAGTTTGATATTATCATTGCTTGAATTTGTGCAAATAATTACTTAAATTAATAGCTAATGTCTAGATGTACGCATACAGTGTTATAACTTTGAAGATTTTATTTATCATTGTTTAAAATTTTCATTGTTTAGAATTTTCATAAATTAGAAAAATGTGCTTGTTCTCTAACAACATGAATTGGTATCCTTATTCATTTGTATAGAAGATATATTTTTTTGTCTAGATATATAACAATTTTTGCATTTAAGAAAAAAAACTTAATATCACCGACTATATTTACACATTATTGAAACCTCTTTGTAGACGACATTGGTAGTGAGAACACAATCCTATTCATCTTCGTCTAGAGCTAACACCTTCAATCCATCAGGACGGATTACTTGGATTAAAATATATAATGGTATAATATTACTCAATTAGTTATCATTTTATATTTTCAATCAATTAGTGATATCGGATTCATTTTCAGTCAATTATTCTTTTTTATTTTCAGTCAATTAATCAATTAGAATATCAAATGTAGTGATATTTTTACCTAATTTTCGTTCCATTTTTAATTGATGATGTAGATATTATTATTGAAATATTTCCGTTTCATTTTTAATTTACCTTTACTATTATTTAAAATATGCATTTACTATTGATAATGTAGAATATTATTATTGAAATATTTTTTTCCAATTTTTAATTTTCATTCCATTTTTAATTAAAATGCAATGATCTGGTCATTTCTTCTTCTTTTTTTTAGTCAAATATGGAGCATTTTTTTATTTGCAGTCAATTATTAATATTCATTTCCTTTTAAAATTTTCAGTCAATTAGTAATATTACATTCATTTTCAGTCAATTTTTTTTTTATTTTCAGTCAATTAGTCAATTATAATATAGATGTATTGATATTTTTACCTAATTTCCGTTACATTAAAATTTGATGATGTAGAATATTATTAATGAAATATTTTCGTTCCATTTTTAATTTACATTTACAGTTTTTAAAAATATACATATACTCCTTGATGATGTTTTCTTTCTATTTTTAATATTCCTTTACTTCTAAACAAAAAGGAAACAAAAACAAAAAACAAAAAAACAAAAAAAAAACTTTGGACTTCTCACTACTTGCCCACATTGATGGCAAGCAATTATGTTTGTAAACATTTTCAAGAGCTCATCTTTCCAAACATTTTTAATGTGAGATTAAAATGATCTCACATCATTCTTCTTTTTTTTTTTTTCTAATTTTAATTTTATTTTGTATATCGTTTTGTTTGGATGATGATGATGATTATTATTATTATTATTATTATTATTATTATTATTATTGTTGTTGTTGTTGTTGTTGTTGTTATTATTATTATTGACAATTTTAAAAAATTGAGATTGAAAAATTCACCAAAATTTTAACAAATTCGCCATTTTAACAATTTATCTTTAATCAAAACACCAAAAATATTATTTAATAACTTAATAATTTGCTCTAAACTGCTAAAAACTAAAACAAAACATACATTTTGGGTTAATCTTTCCCAACCCACTAATAATAAATAATGAATAAATAAATAAAAACTAAAATAAGAAGACAAAGCTAAGGTTTCTTAAATAAGAACCTTTTAACTTCTCAATACTTGCAACATTGATGGACAAACAATTATGTTTGTACCTCTTATATAGAGGAGCTCAAGAGTTTATCTTTTCAAACATTTTCAATGTGAGATCAAAATAATCTCATATCATTTACAAAGGGACGGGCTCCCTTTGTCTTTTTTTTTTTTTTTTTTTTTTTTTTTTTTTTTTTTTTGTTAATTTTAATTTTATTTTATATATAGTTTTATTTGGATTGTTATTATTATTATTATTATTATTATTATTATTATTATTATTATTATTATTATTATTATTATTATTATTATTATTGTTGTTGTTGTTGTTGTTGTTGTTGTTGTTGTTGTTGTTGTTACCGTCGTCGTGTCGTTGTTGTAATTTGATTATTTGACAAATTCGACAAAATTTTAACAAATTCAAATGTTTAACATTTTATATTTAATCAAAACACTATGTTCATAATTATAGAACTATATGTTCAGAATTTTTGAACTATATATTAATAAGAGTTAATACCATTTGAGGTCCTCTGAGTATAGTGGTTTTGCCACGTTTAGTCCTAAACTTTCAAATCGACCATTTGTGGTCCTTCGACTTTCAAATTTAACCATTCGTGGTCCAAGTTAACCACCAATGGTCCTTCAACTATTAAATTTTAACCAATCATGGTCCTTTCAAGAGGGCTACCACTGGTTAAATTTCGAAACTTGAAGGACCATGGGTGGTTAACTTGGACTACGAATGGTTAAATTTGAAACTCGAAGGACTACAAATGGTCAATTTGAAAGTTTAGGACTAAACGTGGCAAACTCACTATAATCGAAGGACCTCAAATGGTATTAACTCATATTAATAATTATGAAATTCTTTTGAATTGTGTCTACATTGCAAGGTGGACACATATCGACAGCATAATTTGTCAGGTTAATAGTACTAAAATAAAAAAAAATAAAAAAAAATAATAAAAAAAAGTCTTTGGACTTCTCAATACTTGCCCATATTGATGGGCAAGCAATTATATGTTTGTAAATGCCCCTCTTATATAGAGGAGTTTAAGAGCTCATCTTTCCAAACATTTTCAATGTGAAATCAAAATGATCTCACATCATTTACAAAGGGGAGCCACATTTGTCTTCTTCCTTTTTTTTTTTTCTTTTTTTTTTTTAAATTTTAAATTTATTTTGTATATAGTTTTTTTTTTTGGGATTATTACATTTGTTGTTGTTGTTGTTGTTATTATTATTATTATAGTTATTGTTATTGTTATTATTTTAATTTTATTTTTATTTTTTTATTATTACATTATTACATAGAATTTTTATTATACTTGAAGAATAATATTATCAATTATATTATTATATTATAGAATATAATATCATACATAATGTTACCAATTATGCAATATTACCAATTAATAGATTTTATTTAATTTCCATTTGACATTTACTTACCAAATAAGCTTTACTACAAAAGTTTGGGAGGGAAAATGAAATGGGATGATTTTGTTGTTTTTTTTTTTTTGAAAAGGGATGATTTTGTTTTTATATAATATATATATATATATATATATATATATATATATATATATATATATATATATATATATATATATATATATATATATATAGATTAATTATTACCCTAATACTTAATTTATAATTCTGATTTTAAAGTTCTTATTATTATTATTAACATTAACATTTGATTACTTTTATAAAAAAATGTAAATTCTAAATTTTGTATGAATAAATTTAAACTCTAATCCGACGCATTTCCTTATATGATTGTATAATTCATTGTATATACACATAATATTTATTAATATGTATATAGAAAAGTTCTATAATATAATTTCATTAATTATAATTTATATTGATAGATTTATAATTAAAAAATTAGATTTAAAAATTTAAAAAGTTGTATTTAAATTTTGCATGATTATTATAGTGCATAAGTGTATGTATGATTAGAAATATTCATGTTTTGTTAATTTAATAATTTCATTTCTTTAATTATATTTTATATTTTATTAATTTTAATTTAATTAAATTGTCACAAATATTTCTATGGAAGAAATCTTATATTTCTCAATTTCTTTAATTATATAAATTATAATTACCAAATATTGTGATAATTACCATAATAATTTCATTAATTATATTACTTATATTAATTATAATATTTTTAATAATCTCTTCCAAAATTTAAATACATTATCATAATAATCACACAAAATAATGAAAGAAAAATTATCAGAATAATTACTTTTAATAAAAATAAAGAAATTATATTAAAAATTAATTATATATTAAGGTAAGTATAATTTATTTCATGCCAATAATATTATACGTTAAGTATAAAAATATATATGTATATAAATTATCATAATAATTACACCGAAAAACGTAACAATATATAATTATTAGGTAATAATATTAATAATTAATTATTAATTATTAAGGTAAGTATAATTTATTTTGTACTAATAATATTATCCATTATATATATATATATATATATATATATATATATATATATATATATATATATATATATGTATGTATGTATGTATATAATTTTAATTTTATATTGATAACCATAGTCTATGTATATACTTTAAGAAAATATGTATTATTAAAGAAGGGATATAATTTAAAAAGTAAATTATTTATTAGATTACGTAATATAATTGTCTTACTAATTGATTCCATGCTACTATGTATAATTCATATATTTGAAAACTTTTTAAATCGAAATATCTATTAATTGCCTTAATAATTAAAATAATTGTTAGTCAATCAATATTCAATAGTACTAAAAGTATTATTTGAATTTTTATACATAAGATATAATATTATTAAATTGAAATAATTAAAAATAATGTGTCTATATTACAAAAGATTTTATAATAGTTATTTTTATTGCATAATAGAATTTGGCAATTATTAAACATTGTTTATGGTAATTATTGTATGACATTTAATACTAAAATTATTAGGTAGAATTTTTATAATTAAGGTATAATATTCTTAAGGTACAATATTGCTTATATATGGTTTACCCGTATTAACCATCACTATATTAAATTAATATATAATTCTTTTAATATAATATATTATTACATCTAAACATATGATTAATATTTATTCAATATTATTACAGAAGTATTACAATTATAAATTTTACTCCGTATTAAATTTTAAATGGCTTAGCATATCGAAGCAAACATGGTAAGTCAATAACATTATTTTACATTAGTAAAGTGATTTTATATCAATGAATGTCAGATAAAGAATAAAATCAAAATAATACTCTATTGGAAAAAAAGCCACAGTACTTAATCGGTTTTTTTCATTAAAAAAAAAAAATTAAATGGCAAGAAAAACGTCTTGGAGGGAGAGACAAACTACTCTCTTATTACAAAAAATGTACACTTTAAAGACGTAGAAATTGAATCGAAACAAAGTCCAACGCTTTGATATATTGACAACTAAAAAATGCTTTTAATTTCATTTTGGTTTTTATTGTATTCTTAGTATGATTCCCTCTATAAGTCTATATCTATTTACATATACACATAATTCGTCCCTCGATCACAAAACTTTATCATCTTCATGAGCAAGGAACTCTATTGTTTCCCGATCAATCTTTCTAGATCCGTATCTTCTCCACAAAAATAGACAAAAAAAAATATATCAACATTTTTTCTTATGAACCACTTTTGTTG